AACAAGTTTTGTAGAAAATTATATCACAAATTCCATAAACTTTCAAAAATATGGTTAATTGACACAATTACAATATTTAAATTATTTTAAAATCATTTAAAAAAATTTGGGTTGATTATTTACATTTACGGTCTTGTTGTAAAGGATATGGTCTAGTGTTTAAAGTTTTTTAAAATGCTGTGATAAATTTGGAAAGAAAAACTTTTTATGCTATTTTTAATACAGCCCTTATTTTTAAATGAAAATTTGACTATATCATTTTCAAAAAAATACCATACTAAAAAAATACATATAATAATTGAGAAAATAAAAAGAGAAAAATGTGAACTAAAACAAAATTATATGTCTTCTTCTTCTTCTTTTTTTTAGGTGCATCAAATAAATCCTCAGACTACAAGTATAAACAGGCCATATCAACATTGGTTTATGTTAGTAAACCTCATGCAAGTAAGCTATATATAGCCCACAAGATACTTATTATCCATCAAAATATGTTTATAATTGGGCCATATCTGCAAATAGAGCTATTCTAATGGGCTTTATAACCCACTGGCCATATCCAACACATTCTATGATAGGGCAGCTAATGGACTCTACAATTTTAGTGGACAACACCAAACCCATGGTAAATGATACATTTTGATTCAAGTGTTAGAGGATTTATCTAAGTGGATGAAGCTATTGAGTATTGATAAATGTGCAACTTCAATTTCAGTTTTATAGATACAATTCGTACGTAAACAACATTGCAATGATTTTTCCTATGCAAACATCTTTAAACTTTCATAATTTTTCAATTTATGCGTAAATTATCACCATACCGTAAAAGCTCTATAAACTAAATAATTGGAACCATAGTATTTAATTAATTAATAATAATATATAAATTAATATATGTAATTTTTGTAGTATTCATTTGGATATGTATTTTTTTTTTTTTTCAATTTTTTTCAGAAATATGAATTGTGACAATTTTACAAAAATAAGATTGTCTTTTGGTTTTTGTAACTAATGATAATAAAATGTCTTTTAAACATGTGTCATTATTCAACTTTGGAAAACATATATTAGTCATAAGAATCAAAATAAACTATAAACAACTATGAAAGACGACAATAATAGACAAAAGATTAAAAATCAAAGTTGTTGCCACTCCAACTCGTTAGGTTACAATATCAATGTCAACTTCAGAAATATCTTCTAGCCACCTTATCACGAATGGCCAAGCACGCAAGCACGTTCTTGGAGCTTGATGTTACACGTATATGCCCGGCCTATTGTACGTTAATAGATTATACAAAACTCCTTCACGGTTTGTTTTTAATAAATCTATACAGTTGAATCTTGTTTATCCATAAGTTGAAAATCATTAGTGTAGGAAAGACGAACAACTTTCTTATTATAGATTCTAACTATTCTAAATGGACAGTTAAGAAAAAGTAGAAAAAAATATACAACCAGTGGTGATAATTTAATGGGTTCATGGATTGGGTTAGATTGAGAATTTACATATGGTTGAGAATTTAATATGTTAAAAGAATAATTTTGTAGCTATAAAGATTTGTGAAAACAAAATTAGAAAAAGGTTGAATCTCAATTAATTTAAAAACATTTTTATCATTTTTAAAGTAATATTTGTAGCTATTGCAGATTAATCGAGACAAGTCTATTAGAATTATCTAGTATAGTGTTGAACTGTTTGTCGTGGTTCATTATATCAAATGGTCATTCATGAATATGGTGGAGAGAAAGAGCCATATGCCCATATAACGTGATTTTTCTAATGTAAGTTGTTCGTAAAACCATTGTTTATCAGAAAACGAAAATACATTGCATAAATGATATATTAGTCATGAAATCAAGTTAATAATTTGTAATAAGATAGAAAGATACTATAATATCTATCATTCATAACATTTTACCTTTCTAAACTATATAGTAAGTGTCTGTTAATACGAGAGATTTCATGGAGAGAAAGAGCCATATGCCCATATAACGTGATTTTTCTCGTGTAAGTTGTTCGTAAAACCATTGTTCATTAGAAAACGAATATACACTGCATAAATGATATATTAGTCGTGAAATCAAGTTAATAATTTGTAATAAGATAGAAAGAAACTATAATATCTATCATTCAGAACATTTTACCTTTCTAAACTATATAGTAAGTGTCTGTTAATATGAGAGATTTCACGGCTTAAGTCCAAGTTTCTTAACAGTCTTAGACCAACATTATTGGTGCGATCTTAAAAAGTATCTATAGCTAAGATTTGTTAACATCCCACCAATAATGTTGTTCTTAGTTATCTAAACAAATGAAATTGACTACTTGAATGTATGTATAAAGTATAAACACTAATGAACTGTATCTATAAGCACTCTAGTCTACACTTAAGTATCATAAGGAGTCATACCAGGATGCCCATTTTAGTGTTTGCACCCCCTCTCTTGAAGAAAACAACAAAGATTTGTAATACTTAGTTTATACACAATTTTAAAACTATTAATGGATTTTGGTTGCAAGTAGTGTGGGATTCTAATGGTGGGTGAGTTGGAGGATGGAGGTGGGTAGGTACAATTACAAAGGCAGAAAATAAATAAACTTATTACACATGCAATTTTGTAACGTTCTGCAGCTACCCATCATGTCTTTCACACTGTAGCCGCTCCATTAAAAGCATGTGTCTATGTGGGTGATTTGTGATTATTGAGTATGTTTATAGATCTTACTTATATATCAGATAAATAGTAGAATAACTGAATAATTATTCGAAATGAATAAAATAAAATTTTTATAAAACAATTTTAAGTCTTTTAATAATGTTTTAATATAGCGAAATGAATAAAATAAAATTTTATAACACATTGAAAAGATAATTTTAATAGATTAATCATGATTTCTAGTAATATTTCGATGTCGCGAAATATAAAAACTATAAACAAGACGTATAATACCATTTTATGATCCCCATTAGGCTAGGAATGTTAGTTGCCTCAATGGTTTTGGCCATATCTAAACACTTGTGCAGTAGCCTATAATAAGTTCTAAAATAATAATGATCCATTAATTCTCTACCCATGTTATAAATTTTATTTTTTCAGTAATAAATACTTTTGTTAAAAAAATTACCTAATACTATAAAACTCCAATAAATTTCACAAAAAAATAGATAAATTACTTAATACTATAAAATTCCAATATATTCCTATAAACTCATCAGTTTACGTATACAATTGGTGAGTTTTCTTTTATTTTCAATCCTCCAAAATACAAATATTCTATATATGACTTATTATATACAACACTTTTTAATATAGTTACAAGTAACAAACATTATCTCTTTCAATGAAATAGACGGCAGAAAAGGCAAGTGTTCTAATCTCACAAGTCACAAGCCAACTTCTTCTTCATAGCATTTTTATTTTTATTTTAAATTATTAGAGTCTTTTCTTTATCAATAAGAGAAAAGAAAAAAGAAAAATATTTGGAGTGTTTTATTTTTGGAAGGAATCATAATAATAGAGACATGTCTATAATTTTTTTTTTTTTTTTTTTATAGGTAACTTGTAAGACTTTAAAGATCCATATATAATAGTATTACAAGAACACATAAGAATCTTGGCATTCATGATCAAATCCTATCCACGCGCTGTTATGTAAGAATCTCACGCGCTCCAAATTGTGTGGACATGACATTGTATTTTGGTTTTGCCAATCAAACCACTGACGTCTCATCTCTTCCTTCCCCATATTTTCTTTGGTCTAACCAATAATTGTAAGTTTGTGACCATCACATTTAAATATATTTTTTTCATATTTACATTATTGTTTTTTTCTTCAACTTATTTGTTTTAACCTCCTTAAATTATCACTACCAACCCCAAAATTAATTAGATTTTAAAAATAAAAAACGGTTAAAGTATAGAATTCGAACCGAAAAAATACAGTTTCTCTTATAGATAAATGAAATATTTATAGGAAATTCAGAATATCGCAGACTATATTCGTAGTTTGTAGTTGATTTAACTATCTAAGTGTTGTGCAAAAAGTTGTGTTGGAAAACAATTGTTCGTGAATATCATCATAATATAATTATAACAAATAATATTTCAGCACAACATAATTAAAGACGATATAAACAAAATTTTGTCTTGAGTTTTTTGAATAATGGTTAGCAAAATAAATATAATATATTTATGTATTAAATTCAAAATATTGAGATTTTTATTCTTTTTTCATATTAGAAAGGATTGAATTCGGCTTAGATTTTTTTTTTTTTCCATTTAAAAAAATTGATAACAACATGTAATGACAAAAATAAAAAGACAAAGACATGTAATTTTTTTTATACGTAAAAAAGGATATAAGAAAAGAGATGATATTTATTTAACTTATTTTATTTTGGATTTATTTCCACGAATAAATCATATATAATAATACATATACTTTATCGCGATCATTTAACTAAAAATGACGGATAAACATATATAGTCTCACAAATTCGTATAATTTTTTTATTAATATAAAACCTTATTTTTCCTAATATCACACTATTTATTTATTTGATTTGTTACATCTTTCAACTTTAGTTCACCATATAGCTAAATTTTGTTTCCAACCCCCATATGCAATCTTATCTACAAAGAAGCCCATAATGATATATCTTCATTTATATTATTAGATCCCCTAGTTTTTTTTTTATGAACTTTTTCTCCTTTTTCGGTTTAGATTCCGTTTCAACTTGTTTGATGCACATAAGTGTTATTGTTTCGCTATCTATTCAAAAATTAATTTGGATTTTTCCTATCTAGTTTTGAAACTTTCTAATGAAAATTCGGAACAAGTCACCATTATTATTTTAGATTTTAGAAATTAAAAAAAACTCGTGACATACGAAAACATAAAAAATAGTAGTAGAGAAAAAAAAACAATTATTACACTTATCTCATTTGGGCATTTTGGCTTTTATATATATAACCCCACCACCATCTCTTGTCTATCATACAATCTCGTCTTCTTCATCATCATCTTCTTCACTTCTTCTTCTTCTCCAAGAAATGGGTTTCCTAAAGCCAGCCATGGCGATTCTTTTCCTAACCATGGTCGTAGTTTCATCAGCCATGGACATGTCAATCATATCCTACGACGAGACCCACGGAGTCTCCTCCACCGGTGGCCGTAGCGACGCTGAGGTTAGGAGTATCTACGAGGCGTGGTTGGTGGAACACGGGAAGGTTGAGAACAAGAACACACTTCTTGGTGAGAAAGATCGGTTCGAGATCTTTAAAGACAACCTTCGTTTCATCGATGATCACAACGCGAAGAATCTTGGTTATAAATTGGGTTTGACTCGTTTTGCGGATCTTACTAACGATGAGTATAGATCCATGTATCTTGGAGCTAAGACACACAAGAAAAGTGAGAGAAGGTCTAGCCTAAGGTACAAGGCTAGTGTCGGTGATGAGTTGCCTGAGTCCATTGACTGGAGGAAGAAAGGAGCCGTGGCTGAGATCAAAGATCAAGGAAGCTGCGGTAAGTTTTTTTTTGTAGTTCACTAGATCTATCTAACTCGCTAATCATCATTATCATTTTGTATTTTACCTCTAGTAGTATATAATATTAATATCTCTATGATTCTTTCAAAAAGTATTGGAATTTTAGGAATTGACATACTTGCCCTTTCTGGGAATGATTGGTTGTTGTTAGTTGGGCACTTGGCAAAACATAACTCAGTTTATGTTATGAAATGAGTATAAGTTGACAAATCATTAGAGCATAATTACTTAATTAGAGAAATTATTTGTATTGACACGTATTTTGTAGCTTAGTTGTTGTGACATATTATATGTTTTAGATGATATTCGTGGGTGATTGTGTTTATTAGGAGAAAATGTTCTGTTTTATACTAATGGTTTGATGTTGATGATGAAGTAAAGTGAAGTGACTAATTTAATCTTGTTTGATTTGTTATTTTGGTAATTAAGGGAGTTGTTGGGCGTTCTCAGCCATTGGAGCAGTGGAAGGGATAAACCAGATTGTTACTGGGAACTTGACAACTTTGTCCGAACAAGAACTGGTCGATTGTGACATTTCATACAACGAAGGTTGTAACGGAGGTCTTATGGACTATGCTTTTGAGTTCATCATCAAGAATGGTGGAATTGATACAGACAAAGATTATCCTTACAAGGGTGTTGATGGACGTTGTGACCAGATCAGGGTAAGTAACATTTTGGTCAGGGATTACATTTGATTCTTAATTACTTATAATTCTTATATCAATCGTGGTTTCTTGTTACAGAAAAACGCTAAAGTTGTCACAATCGATTCATATGAGGATGTTCCAGTTTACAGTGAGGAATCGTTGAAGAAAGCAGTTGCTAACCAGCCTATAAGCGTTGCCATTGAGGCTGGTGGTCGCGCATTCCAGCTCTATGTTTCGGTAACAAATTTAGCAATCTTCTTTTAGTTGTTTGACTATGTTTGGTCTCAAAATGTTACTCCATATTGTTTCTAATTTATTGATGTGTTATTTTCTTCTAAAGGGTATATTTGATGGAACTTGTGGAACACAAGTAGACCATGGTGTTGTGGCAGTCGGATATGGAACTGAGAACGGCAAAGACTACTGGATTGTGAGAAACTCATGGGGTAAAAGCTGGGGAGAGAGTGGATACTTAAAGATGGAGCGTAACATCGCCTCTTCGGCAGGTAAATGTGGTATCGCAATTGAACCTTCATACCCGGTCAAGAATGGCGAAAACCCGCCAAACCCGGGACCTTCACCTCCATCCCCTATCAAGCCTCCAACTCAATGTGACAGTTACTACACTTGTCCTGAGAGCAACACTTGCTGTTGTCTCTTTGAGTATGGAAAGTATTGCTTTGCTTGGGGATGTTGCCCACTAGAAGCAGCCACTTGTTGTGATGACAACTATAGTTGCTGCCCTCATGAGTACCCGGTTTGTGACCTTGATCAAGGAACCTGTTTAATGGTAAGTTTTGATTCCCTCACTTTCACTAACACATATGAAAATAGTAATGCTTAAATCTCACCTAATCCATTTTGGGAATGTGTCATTTACAGAGCAAGAACAGTCCATTTAGTGTTAAGGCCTTAAAGCGTAAACCCGCAACGCCATTCTGGTCACAGGGCAGAAAGAACATTGCTTAAAGAGAAGATCAAGGCAATGTAACATTTGCTTCTTCAGAGAGGATGACTCTTGACTCACACATGAGAGAAGAGATGTCTCTGAAGGGATTTATCAGATGCTTTTTAATGTTGTTGTTTATGCCATAACTAGATTTAAGAAAAAAAAATGCAGCTGTTGGGTTTGGTGTATATAAAAAAAAGTACCCTAAGTTTCATAGTTGGGTTTCATTGATACAGTAAATTTATTGTTAATTCAAAAAAGTTTAATATTCATGGCTATGTTATGGAAGAAACCCTTTGCTTAGTTCTATGAAATAAAGTTCCACATTTCTTTATCAACCTCTTTTACTTAAGTCTATGTAAAGAAAGATCTAGCCATATTGGAAGAATTTACACCAACGGCTGACACCACCTTTAAACTTTGCTTCGGGCTAAGTTCACCTCCTTGACACATATCTCCGAGCTCATTAAAATTTGTTTCCACTTTTTCTCTCATCGGAATGAATATTCAGCTAGAGGATGTCCCTAAAGTTCATATATACGGTCGCAAGAACAAATCAATATGTTCGTCAAACGATGTGGATGATATTTCAACTAACCGTGATCTCAAGTGTGCCAACACACTATTTATCATTTGTCTCAAAGTTCTTATGAAATCTATATGATCAACTTTAGCTATCTTCTTTGTGGCATTGTAGAATGCTCTTCTTTGTTATATACAGATTTTAGTATAAAAATTTGGGTATTTAAATATTTCATCTCTATGGTCTGACCAAAATCAGAAAAATTGAATCGTTTTCTTTTTTGTATCTGGATTTGATTTGAGTGAAATCAAATATTTGTCTAATAAGAGAAAAAGTTGTTATGTAACAAACGATCAAAAGCTAATTCTTTTCTTTTCAATTTTCTGAATCACCATATTCTCAACGAAAATAAACAAAAATGTATTTCGCTTCTTGGAGATGAATTTTTGACTATCCATTCTATTCACATTTCTTCAATGGCTTCATGTTTTGAACCAATGTTTTTTTTTTGGGTCAACAGCTCAATTTTTGGTTTTGTAAAAACTAGTTAATTAGTTATTCATAATTCTAGTCAAAGTAGATTTACTAAAAAAATTCCGGATTTTTTTTTAGATTTTGGTCTTGAATGTTTTGTAGTTTTTAATGAGTTTTAGCTTTTAGTTTTTGGTTTTTTTAGATTTTGATTTTTCCTGTAGAGTTTAGTTTGTGCAAAAGTTTTGAAAAATATAAAAATATTAATAAGAAAAGCCACATAATATTTGTTAGAAAGACAAAAAAAAATTAGCCATTCATGATTTTAGTAAAATTAGATTCCCTAAAATTTAGGAAAATCAAATTTTAGGATATTTTACTAATTCCTTCATATCATCCAAAAACCAGTTTTTATGGGTTTCTAACAAATATTACGTGACTCTTATTTTTTTTCAAGATTTTGCAAAGCCAAAAACTAAAATCAAAAAAAAAAAAAAAATCAAAAACTAAAAATCCAAAAACCAAAAATAAAAGCTAAACCCCATTTTAAAAAACTACAAAATATTCAGGGACTAAAGCAAAACTATTTAAGCCCATAACAAAAAGTAGAAAAGCCCATTCAAGATTTTGTAGAAAACTAATATCTACGTTAAAAATCAAAAACTAAAAATATTAAAAAACCAAAAACTAGAAACCAATTGCAAAACGTTCATGGCCTTGGACTTTCATTTGTTTGATGCTGCTCCGAGTTGAGTTTAGTTGATTAAAAGATGCTTGCGGAACTCTGTTTCCCCGATAATCTATTTATGAGTTTAATTTGAAAGTATAAGGCCTCAAGCCCACAACGGGAACACAAACATGGCCCAATAACCTTGTAATATCGAGAGTTCTTCTAGCCAGCAAAAGACGACAAATGGGAAAAAAGAATAGAGCTCTTCTCTGCAACACAAATAACCCAAACCCGAACGGAGGTAGAGAAGTAAGAGGAGTGTCATATGATACCCATGAAAATAAAATTTTAAGCTTAATTTTTATTATAAAAATTAGTTAACACATGTTTAAATATTCTATTGACACCCTTCCAGAACTTTAGTAACACCTCTCAAACAAATATAAACTCTCTTTCTAGACCTCTATATTCAAAGATGCTATTAATATTTTTTAAATAATGTTGGGATATATTCCATATGATCATTGGATTTTTTGCCAAACGGTTGGCCTTTAACCTTTAAATGATTATGTACCTAAACATAATTATAAGTTAGTTAAAAAAATAATAGTCCTTAAAACACTAAACGGTAAAAATCTAACCGTACGTATATGTAAACTATAAACTAAATGGTTCTATTTAACAGAAACACATAAAATATTAGTCCGTGGTGTACCACGGGGTAAAATCTAGTACTTCTGATTTTTGGCTCATTTAATAGTTGACGCCTTGCTGAGATGATGTTTCTGATCTCCTTATCCAGAATCACAAAAATAGTTGTCGGCTGAATTGTTTGCTAATTGTGGACAAGATTGTTCAGCTACTTCCATATGTCGTAAATAGTAGCATGAGCTACTAGTTTTCGCAGGAAGGAAGGCATGGACATCTTCAGTGTAATTTTGCCATAAAGTACACTCGATGATAGTTTGACTGTAAGAGACAGCAAATATTTAAACCAAAGTCACAAAAGCTAAGTAAAAATATACAAAGAAAGACATGAAGAAGTGTTTTACTCTCCACTTAACTTCACTAACCTGAGATCTATAAGTTGTATATCCAACAACTTTGACATATGTCCTGAACAATCTTTCTCAATAATCAGACTCATTCCAACAATTTCTCCAATAATATCTAAAAAATGCAAAAACAAATAATGGAAAATTACATGTAGTAAATTTACCTAAAATGATAATCTATCTCAGAATGAAAGACGTCTCGAATAGCAGACATAACATATTAACTAGAGGATGGCCCGTGCTTTCGCACGGATGATGTTTTTAAACTAAAGATATAATTGGATTTGTATTAATATTTGGTATTCAATAGTATAGGATAAACATAATAGTCTTGTATATTTTAATTTTAATTCTATAGAGTTAAATCGCGTGTTGATTTGTATATTTTAACTGTATAGAAAGTAAATAATATATACAATAGTAATTAGGTCTGGTTTTAATATAAGTACGTATATATTATATTTTCTCTAAAACCGTTAAATTTATCAATCACGGACATTACCTCAACGGTGTATAAGAAAATGCAATCTTCTAATATAATTTACAAAAATTGTATATCGGTTGAAAGATAACATAAGTGATATATAACAATTTCATAAATTTGGATAATCTATTTATGAATACCTTATGAATAAAATTTAACTATTGGCAAAAGTATATGA